TAGGATAGGATTGTGAAGATTAGATGAGCTTGTCTATCTGAAGTACTTAGAATAATGCCTGGCACATGCTAAGCATTGTAGGTGTTATTTATTTATTTTACTGAATTCAGTTGAATTCAACCCAAACCTTGAAGATCATAGATATTCAGCTGTGCTCTTTCCTAGGCTTCTTTTATTTTTAAAAACCCATAGAAAAATCTCACTTATGTAGAGGTTTCTTATCATATTAACATAGATGGCACAAAGCCCACAGTTAAAATTCTGATCTTTACATCTTGAGAGTACCTTAGACTCTCCACTCAATTTGTTTACTCTGACTTTATGAATAATGCTAAGTTGAGTGAGGTTTGTTTTTCTGTTCATATTATATTAGAAGTTGCAAAACAGAAGTGGAGATTGCTCCCAGAATAGTGACAGCCACAGGTAGTAAGAAAGGATATTAGGATATAGCCTGACATCAAGGTCAAGAAACGAATGTTTCCACAAGAACTCCATAGATACCATATTCTGGGCCAATTCTTAGAGCATGGTTCTGGTTCTGGGTTTATCTCTCAGTTCTGTCACTTAACTAGATATGTGGGACTTTGGCCCACTTAACCTCACTAAGCTTCATTTTCTTCATTGGTAAAATGAGGGTAATACTATCCATTTTGTATGACTACGTAATACCTGGCATGTGGTGGGTACTCAGAAACTGGTAGCTATTGTGTTTTAATTTTCTTTTTGATTTATTTAGCATAGAGTCCATCAGCTCCTGTGTATTGTAGAAGCCCCTGAAGGCATCACTATCACTATATTATAGCCTAGTACAGTGGTTGGCAAACTCATTAGTCAACAGAGCCAAATATCAACAGTACAACGATTGAAATTTCTTTTGAGAGCCAAATTTTTTAAACTTAAACTATATAGGTAGGTACATTGTTATTAACTTAATTAGAGTACTCCTAAGGCTTAGAAAGAGCCACACTCAAGGGGCCAAAGAGCCGCATGTGGCTCGCAAGCCGCAGTTTGCCGACCACGGGCCTAGTATAATGGTTGATATCCATAATGATGACATTGTGTAATCAAGATGTTAAATTCAGAATCCTCTGTGTGGTCAGAGAATTGCACAGGATGAGATACATCATTAAAGTAGTGACACACTTAAATCACTTGGTTTTGTGTCAAAATTTATATATTTGAGAGAGAGTCCCACTTAAAACATTTAATATAAAGGAAATGTGTAGAAACATAATGGAACACTTAATTTATCTCAAGTATTTATGTCGGTAGAACGTTTCAATCCCAGACAGAACTGCTTCTGTAATCCCATGCCTACTAGGAGTCAGTACTGGGCTGATTTCCATTTGCTCTTGCCTCTGAAATATTTTTCTTCTGAAATGGCTTTGCTTATTCAGCTTTGACTTTGATACATTATCTGTAGAGAAGAGAATCAATATTATTTCTTCCTTATAGTGAATGGTTTTATTTAACACACCAAGAGGTTGCTTCCTGATTAAGGCTGAGGATAGATGACCTACTAGATGTTTAAGTTCCAGAACTATAAGGTGTCTCTTTGAGAGAAAGGTTATAGGGACCTCAGCTAAGAAGACATCCAATTGTCAAAAATAGACACCATTTCCCCACAACGTTTCTAGAGGTAAGAATGAGAAGAAGAAAGAGAAATTACTCAGGCATAGTTACTTAATATTTTGATAGTTTTCTATCATACCCTGTGTTTGTATTTTTTTACTTATCATCTATCAGTATTTTCTATATCACTGCCTTCTCTCAGTTTAAATAAACATTCCTGTAACAGGCTTCAGTTTTCAGTGTTCTGAAATACAGTTGAAGAGCCTCTGCTTTTAATAAAATTGTTCCTGGTAAGTCAGCAAAGCCTAGTGAGTCTCCAGTATCAATCAGAAACAACGAAGTAGACCATCTGGTTTATTTTTGTGTTTCAGGGGGAGAACATAGAAGACATTCCAAAGGACGTATTGATGGACTGTGCCCAACTTGTGAAGGCCAATAGCATTCAAGGTCAGTTTTCATAGAGGTGCTTTCAGAATTAGCAATGATTTCCCTGTGTCTGAAATGGATTACATTTTAGAGAAAATATTCCTGACTTTGGCTTGAGTGAAAGGACTGCCATGTAATATGCCTTTGCCCTGTTTTGTTCTTTAAGATGGCATTTCTGCTACCTACCAAAGAACTAAAAAGTAATCTCCCCACCGCTCTAATGTTTATGACCCTATCTCAATTCTTTTACCTTGTTTTTCTTTTCGTTTTATATATATATATATTTTTTATTAATTTCAGAGAGGAAGGGAGAGAGAGATAGAAACATCAATGATGAGATAGAATCATTAATCAGCTGCCTCCTGCACGCCCCCCACTGGGGATCAAGCCCATACCCCGGGCATGTGCCCTGACCGGGAATCGAACTGTGACCTCCTGGTTCATAGGTCTACATTCAATCACTGAGCCACGCTGGCCAGGCTTGTTTTTCTTACCTTGAATAGTAAGTTGTCTATACTTGCCTACCTTTAAGGTTATTTGTAGAGAGACTTTCAGAAATCAGGATGTGTTAATAGCTAAGCAAGAAATGTCTCTCACAGCTTTATTTTTATGTTGTTTGATGTCTTTATTTCCACTATTTGCCATTAGATACTAGGACTCAAGTCTCCAAATCACTCCTGCTTTTCCTTCTTGTCTTCTCTTATTTTGTTCTTCCTATAAATTGTGAACGTATCAAATCAGTTGTTTATCCCCCAGAGAATCTTACTTAATTTGTCTGGGGCAATCTGTGAGTATCGGTATGCTTGACATGCTCTCCAGGTGATTCTAATGTCCAGAGAGAGTTGAGAACAATTGGTGATAAATGTTTCGGGTAGGGCCTGTAATTCTGGGCTTGGTGCTTGTCTATTTTATTGACATAAAAATAATACAAACTAAAACTATTATATTCTCTTTTCTTGTTTGTTGCAACCTCTTTCACGTGTTCTTGTCCCATTTCCATGCCCCTGACTAGCAGATGTGACTTTATTAAAAGAGCTTTAGACTCTTTATTCTTGGCCCAGCCTCTTTTTTCTTAATCTCTACTAGTTTTAGAGAAAACAGAAACAGAGAAGAGTCATGACACAGAATTATTCTTCTCTCCTCTTCAGCCTTGCACAGCGACAGCTCACTTAGCAGGAAAAGGAGCTGGGCCTAACTAAGAGCTTCACTCTTGTGAGTCAATAGCAGAGGATGCTGAGGAGTGAAGGAGGTTTTCCTTGCTGTGAGCTTTGCTAAGTATTCTCCATTTGTGTCACCGAGTAGTTAAAGTATTTTCCTCCGTGGTTGACCACCTTCAGCACTCAGAATCAAGGCACTTGGGGTTAAACTTGTTTGTATTCATAGAGTCTGGTCAGCCTGTTTTATATTCATCTTATACTCTCTTGCCAGATTAAACTTTCTAAAAGCTTAGATACTTCATGACACCCTCACCTTGTCTATACAGTTAAGTCCAGACTTCTTAAGCTGGCATTAAGCATCTTTGATCTGACTACATAACTCCTTTTCCCCTCACATATTTCACACTCCAGCCAAACCAAGTATTTGCTGTTTTTCTATCTTTGTTTATACAGTCATGTGTCATTTAAGGATGGGTATGTGTTCTGAGAAATGCATCACTAGGCAATTTTGTCATTGTACAAACATCATACAGTGAACTTATATAAACCTAGATAGTATAGCCTACTACACATATAGCCTATTACTGCTAGGCTACAAATCTGTACATATTCATGTAGTAAATACTATAGCACAATCATAAGTATCTGTGTGATTAAACATAGAAAAGGTACAGTAAAAAGTGTGGTATAAAAGATAAAAAATGGTACACCTATATAGGGTGCTTACCGTGAATGTAACTTTCAGGACTGGAAGTTGCTCTGAGTGAATCATTGAGTGAGTGAATGTGAAGGCCTAGTGGTGAGTGAAGGCCTAGAATATTCCTGTATACTATTGTAGCTTTTATAAATACTATACACTTATGCTACCCTACTTTTATTTAAAAATATCTTTCTTCAGTGTAGCCTTAGCTTACTGTAACTTTTTAACTTTATAAACTTTAAAATTTTTTAACTTTTTGACTCTTTGTAGTAAGAGCTTAAAACACACATTTGTACAGTTATACAAAAAATATTTTCTTTATAACCTTATTCTATAAGCTTTTTTCTATTTATAATTTATTTAAAAATTGTATTTTACTTTTTAAATTTTTTTGTTAAAAATGAAGACATTAATATACACATGATCCTAGGCTCCACAGGGTCAGGATCATCAATATCACTGTCTTCCACCACCACGTCCTGTCCCACTGGAAGGTCTTCAGGAGCAATAACACGCATGGAGCTGTCATCTCCTGGGATAACAATGCCTCTTCCTGGGACACCTCCTGAAGGAGCTGCTGGGGCTCTTCTTGAGGAGGTGTCACTCTTCTCAGAAACAGGACCATGGTGGTTTCCTTGGTTTGGTTTTTGTTTTGTTGTTTTTCCCATCAGATTTGCTTGCAAGCAAGTAATGCACCATAAATATTCTTCTCTATTAATGAAAACCTTTCAGTTGGGGTGAGGGGGTCCATGTTTTCTAACTTTTTAAGGATCTTGTTGAGGTCTGCAAAAGTTTTTGCTAAAATCTCCTCCATTGTGAATTTTCTTACGGATTCGTCTTTTTTTCTTTTCCTGAAGTTTCCTGTTCTCTTGCCTCTTCTTCAGCTATGTGTTCCTGTTCAGTTCCAATAACTCCTCATTAATTCCTCAGGAACCACCTCTAGGAGCTCCTCAGTTGTCCTATCCACACTCAGGTAAAAGTTGATTGCCATCTCAGCCACAGCCTTGTTGATTTTTGCAAACTCCTCATCCTTGGCAGTCGTGGATGAACCCCTTGAGTGTCTTCTTCCCGATGCCATTCATACATCACCAGTCAGTAGGACATTTTCAACTCCATGACTGAAATGTTATGTGGCACATGATTTTATCCTTCCCTCTGCTTTCAGTTTTGTCCTCCTTTTCAACCATCACAAGTCCACATCCACGCTGAGGTTCAAGGTCAACATAATAGTTGTAGTAATAGCTAACATTGAATGTTAACGATATGCCTGGCACTATGGTAAAAACTTTACAAATTATTTATCAGCCCTACTGAGTTAGATATTATTATTGTCATTTTATAGATGGGGATGCAGAGCTGAAAGAGAATTAAAGGAATTTACCCAAGGTATCAGACGTGGTAGAGACTGCATTTGAAGTCAGACACTCTGACTTTAAAGTCTTCTGTCTTTCCCACTAAGCTATACTAACCTCTTTCATGGAGCCTTTCCCTTCTCCAGCTTTGAGTGACCACTGCCCTCTCTGTACCATCTTACCACTTTACCTGTACCTTTCCGATACTCGATGAGTTCTACTTTTAATTGAAGTTATTTATGTACTTACCTCACTCCTTTAGTCTTGAAAAGCAGAATCCATTGTCTAATCCATGTTTTTATCCCCCTTGCTCATTGGAGTTTTTTTAAAACTTTATTTTATTATCTTGAAAAGTTGCAAGAAAAATACAGCTCTCATATACTCTTCACCTAGGTTCAACAATTTTTCCATATTTATTTGCTTTCTCTCTGTGACATACTTATGATTAACTTTCTTATTTGAATAATATGAAAGGAAATTGTGGCATCATAACCTGTCATTTATGTCCTCAGAATAAGGACATTTTCTTAAGTGAATGCATTACAATGATCAATTAAGAAAATTTAACATGGATCAAATACTGTTATCTCATATACAGTCTGTATATAAGTTTTCCTACTGTTCCACTACTGTCCCTTCATAGCATTTTTTCTAATTCAGGATCATGTGTTATATTTACTTGTCATGTCTCTCTAGTCTCCTTTTATCTGGAGATACTTCTTTGTCTTTTAGGGCACTAATACTTTCAGAGTGGAGACCAGTTATAGAATATCCCATGATTTGGATTGGTCTGGTGCTTCCTCTTGAATAGGATCGCATTACAAATTTTCAGGCAGTAATACTTCATAAGCAAAGTGAGGTGGTGGTCACAGATTTCTCCAGTGTACGTGGTGATTTAATAAACTGAAATATATTGCCACCTAATTTTGAAGGGCCTTAAAAAGTGTTGGACCAACGATTGAACTGATAATTTTTATTGTTGTTGTTAATCCTCACCCAAGAATATTTTTCCATTTATTTTTAGAGAGAGTGGAAGGGAGGGGGAGAGACAGAGAGAAACATCGATGTGAAAGAGACACATCGATTGGTTGCCTCCTGCATGCACCCCAACCAGGATTGAGCCTGCAACCGAGTTACATACCCCTGACCAGAATCGGATCCCGATCCTTCAGTTTGAGGACCGATGCTCTGTCCACTGAGCAAAACCAGCTAGGGCTAACCTGTGATTCTTTGAGCTGCCTAAGGCTGTTGGTGTAGAGGGGGAAATGTGAAGTGGAGGTGGTAAGGACAAAGGAGGAATAAACAGGAGGGCACCTGGCATCCCTTTTATCCAGAGCATCTCTGCTTTAATTACTTTGATATGTTTTTTTGGTAAAAGAGGTTCCACTGCTAAAAGAAACAAAAACAAAAATTTTACTACACTGGTCCAGTGACCTCATGTTTCAGATGAGATTCTGAGAGCTGTGCGGACTTTCCCAAGGTGGCACAGCTGGTTTGTGGTAGGGCCAGGATAGAGTGCAGGTCTTTGGAATCCCAGGCCATGGCTTTTTGCTTTATCTTGCTGCTTATCCTTTATTGGATCAAGGACTCCTCTGAGAATCTGAGCAAATCTGTTTGGACCTTTCTCTTTAAAAACAGTATATAGTAAGTTTTGCATTCAATTTTAGGGAGTCTCAGAAGTCCCTAAAGCAAACCCACGGACCCCTGCTTTCTACTGTCTTAATTTTGCTTGAATTGTGTTTGTCAACTTTACCGTTTGCCTTTTGTGGGTGTTTTGTGGTTTGAACACTTGATGCCTTGTTCATGCTAAGCTCTTTCCTTCATTGGATTATGGTGATTTGCCAGTGGGTAAGGGATCACTGCTCAGTGTCATCCTGCCTGCATGTTGAAGATAGTCTCTCTTGGCAGGCTGCAAGATGAACAACGTTAATGTGGTATATACACCGTGGTCTAACCTGAAGAAAACAGCTGACATGGACGTGGGACAGATAGGCTTTCACAGGCAGAAGGATGTAAGTGTTCCGCACCACCGAGGGAGGCGGAGTCCTGCCACTGAGTGGGGTATCGTCTTTTCTGTCTAACATCTTTGTTGTTGAGGGCTCAGCATGATGTATGTTATTTAAAGAAAATTAAGCTGGGTGGCTGAGCCCCTGGAAAGCCTCTCCCCTGTTCTTGGGGGGAAATCATATAATAAAGATTCAATATTTTTCCCCTGTCTCCCTCAAAGGTGAAAATTGTGACAGTGGAGAAGAAAGTAAATGAGATCTTGAACCGATTAGAAAAGACCAAAACGGAGCGGTTCCCAGACCTAGCAGCAGAGAAGGAATGCAGAGACCGGGAGGAAAGGAATGAGAAAAAAGCCCAAATTCAGGAAATGAAAAGGAGAGAAAAGGAAGAGATGAAGAAGAAGAGGGAAATGGACGAACTTAGGTATGTTGGAGCTATAGTATTGGTATTGACCTTGAAGATTCTTCACTGTGATTTTAATCAGGATGATACCCTGAAAAAAAGAAAAAAGAAAAGAATGATATGCTGGTGGAGGAAGAGATATAAAACAAGTTCAGAGCTTTAAATGAGTTAGAAAAAGACATTTATACTATGTTGGTCAAGTGAATTACCCTTTTATAGGGGCAGGATATGAGAGTGTATGAAATAGCTAATTTCATTTTTGAATAAACCATAATAAGTTATCCTCAAAGTTTGGTTTGTAAACATCTTCAGGAAAAAAAAAAAGATGCTATATTAAGAGTTTAACATTGACTAGCTATGATATTTGAATAGAGCTGTCTTAGCTCTAAAGGCCAGTGCTAGTAACTCTTAAAAGTTGTTTTTAAAACCTCTTTTTTACATTTTATGTGTTTTACATTTTGAAAGTTCAAATTAATGTAGTGAGGTCTGCTCCAAAACACTGCATTTTTTTCTTTTTTATTGAATTTATTGGGGTGACATTAGTTAATAAAATTATGTAGGTTTCAGTTGTACAGTTGTATAATACATCATCTGTATATTATATTGTGTGTTCACCACCCCAAGTCAAGTCTACTTCCATTACCATTTATCCCCCCATATCCTCTTCTACTTCCCCTACCCCCCTTTCTCTCTGGTAATCACCATACTGTTGTCTGTGTCTTTAATTTCTTTTTCAAAACACTACTATTTTTTAACGTGTTTTTTATTGAACTTGAGAGAGAGAGAGAGGAACATGGATCGGTTGCCTCCCGTACACACACTGACCGGGGATCTAACCCACAACCTGGGTAATTGCCTTGATTGGAATCGAACTGACAACCTGTGGTGCATGGGACAATGCTCCAACCAACGGAGCCACACTGGCCAGGGCATCAAAACACTACATTTTTAAATAATAAATAGTAGTTAAAAATATAATTTGGATCCTGAAATTCTGGTGTATAGGGCCATAAGAATACTTGACTCTATTAATTTTCTATTGCTACTATAACAAATTACCACAAATTTAGTGGTTTAAAACAGCCTCGATCTATTATTTTATAGTTCTGTACGTTAGAAGTTTGATGTGGTTTCCACTGGGCTAAAATCCAGGTGTCAGCTGGGCTATGTTCCTTTCTGGAGCTCTGGGGGAGAATCTGTTTTCTTTTCCAGCTGTTAGAGCTACCCACATTTCTTGGCTTGTAACCCCTTCTTCCATCTTCAAAGTTAATAACATTGCATCTCTGACCTTTCTTCCATGGTCATAATCCCCTCTTTGATCACAGCTTCTTTGCTTTCAAGTTCCAATGTGGTGACATTGAGCCCATCCAGATAATCTATGGTAATAATCTCCCATCTAAGATCCTTAACTTTATCACATCTGCAGAATAGTCCCTTTTGCCATATTAAGTAACATATTTATGGGTTCTGGGGATTGGCATGTGAACATCTTGGGGTAGGATCGTTATTCTGTCCACCATACTGAATCTATACAGATGTATAGTACTATACCTGAAGAGGCCCACAGTTTTTCTTTGTGAGAGAAGAAAATTAATTCTGTGACTAATTCCTAGATTTTCCCAGTTATCCATAGATATCATGTGGTAAGTGTACCAATAAGGGGGAAAAAAGTATTGATGTGTTATTCTTTTTGGGAATAGTATAGTAACAAAATGAGCTGTCTTGCCATATCCTAACCCAGTTTCTTTGGAATACCTGGGTTATTAGAAAGATTGTTGGGTCAGAATTCGGTATTATGATCAAGTACTGGAACTCATTAGTTATCCATATACACACGTGTTCCTGTTGGGGATTCTGCTAAAACAAAATGAGGAGCTTCATAGAATTCCCAAGTGTTATCCTGAGTTATATTTGCTAACATGAATCAGACTAATGCTAGATTTAAACATTTGATATTACCTAGAATTGCAAGTCTGCTTTCTGTTAAGAGTGGAAGAAAAATGATCAACTCATCAGTGTGATAAAATATGTGGAATTTTGAGTGATTGTGGGATTTAGAGTAGTTTATTCATTTTTGTTTTGTTTGTTTTTAAATATTTTTATTGTTTTCATAGAGGAAGGGAGAGGGAAAGATAGAAACATCAATAATGAGAATCATTGATCGGTTGCCTCCCACACGCCCCCTACTGGGTTATTGAGCCCGAAACCTGGGCATGTGCCCTGACAGGGAATTGAACTGTGACCTCCTGGTTCACAGGTCAATGCTCAACCACTGAGCCACTCCCGCCAGGGCCTTACTGCTTTTATTTTAATAAATTACCCTGGGCCTCAGAAAACCAAAAACAGTTGGTGTGTTCATTTCTGAGAAACATGTGCCACAAAAACGACTTCCATATGCTGCAGAAGGTAGAAGAATGTGAAGCAGGGCTATAGTGTGATGAACCCATGCAGTGACATATCAAAGATTCGCTTGGCATGTGCAGAGCTGCTGTTTGCATGCTGTATTCTGCAGCTTTTGTGAAATTCCAACAACAAATTCTAACCACTGACCCACACCAGCCAGGGCACCAGTCATTTTTTTTTTTTTTTAATTAAGATACTTAGGAATAAAGTATCTTTTTTTAAATATAGTTTATTGATTTTTTACAGAGAGGAAGGGAGAGAGATAGAGAGTTAGAAACATTGATGAGAGAGAAACATCGACCAGCTGCCTCCTGCACACCCCCTATTGGGGATGTGCCCACAACCAAGGTACATGCCCTTGACCAGAATCGAACCTGGGACCCTTCAGTCCGCAGGCTGACACTCTATCCACAGAGCCAAACCAGCCAGGGCACCAGTCATTTTTTATAGTGGGGAAGACCATGAGTTGGATATGGATATATGAATCATGTCTGCCCTTGGCTATAGGTGAATTTCCTCATTTATATAATGCCACCTTCCACACAGTTATTGAGTAGGAGTGAGTGCTTTGTAAACTGTAAAAGTGCTATGTACATCTTATTGTTTGTGGATATTTATCCTTTTTATATTGTAGTCTCCTTGAGGGCAGGGATTGTATTTTTGTTTGTTTTCGAAAGACCCTCAGCAGTGCGAGATACATGTAATATTCACGTAATTCTTGCCAGCTGGCTAACCTTATTTTAAATGTGTTTTTTCTTCCAGGAGCTATTCATCACTAATGAAAGCTGAGAATATGTCTTCAAATCAGGTATGCTCAAGTATTTGTTCTAATGTTGTGCCTTGAAATAATTCAGTAGGAGTTATTAATAATTGAGTTACTGGCCAATATTGACTCACATGTTGCACAACTATAGAACACTCAGGTGGCTTCTATTAGGCATTGCCTCTCCTTCCTTGTGGACTTCCTCATGTGTTTATTTTTGAGTAGGGCACCTTGTGTCATCCCTTGTCCATTGTGAAGTGTGGGTCTCTTAGTACTTACAGGGCTTTCTCATTCATTTCCCTCTTTCCTACTTGCAGGCATGCAAGAGTGCCTTTATTTATTAGTGTCCTATATGAATGTGACTGTACATTCTATATTACAATTGAGTGAGAACAAAATTATCACCTTCGATTAAAAAATTAAACGGAAGTATTAACTTTAAGATCTTATCTGTATAAGTGACTACATTGATTGTTTTCATGTTCCTCAAGACCTGAATTAAAGAGAAATGGTAGTCTGTTTTATCGTACTGAAAGGATCTTCTAGCATTAGCACCTAGTTATTTACTGACATATTGTTCACGAGTACTATCTTTCCCAAAGTTTATTTGGAAATGTCTGGAGGTAGCACAATCGAGCTATTATTATTTGTCTTTGCCCAAAATACAACTGAGTGAATATATTTGCTATATTGAATGTTTATAATGTAGTTTACAAATATGTGCTTTAGATTTGTGTTTTTCAGTACACTAGGCATGATTGCATGTGGCTATTTAAATTTAAGTTAATTAAAATTTAATTTGATTTATAAACTCAGATTCTTAGTCAGATTGACCACATGTGGCCAGGGACTACCATATTAGCGCAGAAATAGAACATTTCCATCATCACAGAAAATACTGTTAAACAGCACTGCTTTAATACTTGAAAGTTATTAACAGAATTGAAGGTCCCTCAAAGATCATCTAGTCAAACACCATTTTTAGTGCATGAATTGGAATTGTTAATAGGATTTTACATCTTGTTCATATCTACATATCCTTCTAGATGTAATAGGAATAATATCTTTATTCCTAGAAGGACTAAATTTATGAGGATTCGTTATGAGTCAGAGATGTGTCTTTAAAATTTATTCCTGAAAGATTCCAGAGTAGCATTATGTAAGTAAATAGAGCCTTGAATTTGAACTTTAGAGATGTGAACTGTCATTTACTAATTGAATAAGCCTAATAAGGTTATTTAACCTCTTTGAGGGTGTATCAGCAATAAAAAGAAGACATGTTACCTCATGAGGCTGTTCTAAAATTTATACAAGGGCATATGTGAAAGTTCTTCCTTGACTTAGTCACTCTATAAATATAAATGGTCATTATTATTTCTTACTCATTAGTTCTTCGTTGCTATTTTCCCACAAGTATCAGTATCAGAAGATGAGAAACAGTTAATCCCTTCTGGAAACTGTTAGATTTCTTGAAACTTTAAAGTAGTTTAACAGTTAAACTGATTTCTTTAACATCCCCCAAATCTAATGTCTTTGTTGTGGTGGTAGTTGCTTATTGAGGGTTTCTCTTATTCAGGGGCTATTTTCCAGCATAAATTTGGCACTTATGTTATGCTTTCAGGCATTTTCATTCCCATCGTTATGGATTTTTAAAGTTTGGATGTTCTGGAATTATGAAGTAAACATAAACACATACACACATGAATGTACATATATATACAAATAGCATCTGATTATCAACAGATGTTAAAAGTTCCAGGATTAGGAAATCAGATTTGTAGACCAAAGGATTATAATCTGTTATTTGCTACCCCTGTTCCTGAGCTCCAGGTTTGAATCACATTCAAGTTTCCAAGGAAATTTTGTGCTGGTTTTGATCATTTATTGCAGTTGAAGGACTCATAGCTTTTTCTTGTACTTCGAAAGACTAAGCTTTAATTCTCCTTGTAATCATCTTATGTTAAGGGGATACAGACCTTTTATGATCCCTTTTGGCAACATGATCAGTCAGTTTTCAGTTAAAGGCTGGTGTTTATGTACGATAATTTTTAATTTAGTTTATACAAGTATTAGTCTTCCACTCTTAAGTTGGTTTCAATTTTGAGTTTGTGCTCTTCTATTTAGATTAGTTCTCTTCAATCTATAAGTTCTTTCTAAGTTTGGTATCAGGAACCATAACAGTTACTTTTAACATTTTATGTGCTCATCATCTTGTAAGTGGATAACAGGAAACCTATTTTGCTATATTGAAAAAAACATTGACTCTTAAAGGGAGTCTAGAATATAAATATTATCCTAATAAAGCTTTGGAGTTCAGATATATATTTAAAAGTTACTCTAATCCTAAAATGCAGTTTCTCAGACACATGGGAACTCTTTGCAAATGTAACTCACAGCCTTTATAGGGAATGATGCATTTTCATTGTCACCAACCGAAATTATCTTAGTGAGTTTTTCTTTTTTTCTTTCCTTCTTCCTTAATAATTCTTTATTGTTGAAAGTATTATATATATTCCCTTTTCTCCTCCATTGACCCCCTCCAGTCCACCCCCCTGCCCCAGGTCTTCACCACCCTATTGTTTGTGTCCATGGGTTATGCATATATGCATACAAGGTCTTTGGTTAATTACCTCCCAACCACCCACCCTTCCCCGCCTTTCTTTCGAGATTCCACACTCTGTTCTATGCTTCCTTGTCTCTGGATCCACTTTGTTCATCAGTTTATTTTGTTAATTAGATTCCACATATGAGTGAGATCATGTGATACTTCTCTTTCTCTGACTGACTTATTTGCTAATTGAAGAGAAGGTCCCTCCGTGCTGTCTCAAAGGGTAAAAGATTCTCCTTTTTCCTGCTGCATAGTATTTCATGGTATAAATGTACCATAGCTTTTTTATCTACTCATCTACTGATGGGTACTTGGGCTGTTTCCAGATCTTAGGGATTGTAAATTGTGCTGCTATGATGAACATAGGGGTTATACATTCTTTCTGATTGGTGTTTCGGGTTTCTTAGGATATATTCCTAGAAGAGGAATCACTGGGTCAAATGGCAGTTCCATATTTAATTTTTTGAGGAAACTCCATACTGTTTTTCCATAATGGTTGCACCAGTCTGCATTCCCACCAGCAGTGTAGTACTAGGGTTCTCTTTTCTCCACATCCTCACTAGCACTTGTCATTTGTTGATTTGTTGATGGTAGCCATTCTGACAGGTGTGAAGTGATACCTCATTGTCGTTTTAATTTGCATCTCTCTGATGATCAGTGACTTTGAGCATTTTTTTATATGTCTCTTAGCCATCTGTATGTCCACTTTGGAGAAGTGTCTATTTAGGTCAAGCATGTCAAACTCACAGCCGGCGGGCCGCATGCCTTGTTTAAATAAATGTGGGCCGCAAGTTTGACATGCTTGATTTAGATCCTTTGCCCATTTTTTAATTGGATTTTTTGTCTTCCTTCTGTTAAGCTATATGAGTTCCTTATATATTTTGGATATTATTGGTGAGTTTTTCATTCTTGGTGTTTGGGATCTAAAGCTCACCTTAAAAGATATAGGATGACTCATTCAACCTCTCTAATGCTGTTACTCAACTCAGTTTAGGACTCTAGGGCAGTCACACTTCCAGAGTTTGCATACAAGACAGGCATTAGTGTGCTCTTTATACAATTATTATTTAAGGCATTTTGACTATGGCCTCACAGTTTGTTTTGCTAATTGAAGAGAAGCTCACAGAAAACTACTGAGTGAAACTGGAAGTTACCCCAGACTTCACAGAAACCCTTGTTTTTTACCTGTATCTCATATTTGCCCACCCACCTCAAGTAAGAGCTATTAAGGAGAAAAGCATGTATACCTTTAAGCCCAAGTCCTCTTTCTCTAACAGCTCAGGTGTCATACGGTGGGAGCATGAGAGAAGCTGAAACAAGTGACATTTTCAAGCCAATGTACCAGAACTTACACTGTGAATGTTATTTTTTTTAAATATGTTTTTATTGATTTTTAGATAGAGAGGAAGGGAGAGGGAGAGATAGAAACATTGGCTGCCACCTGCACACCCCCTTACTGGGGATGGAGCCCACAATCCAGGCATGTGCCCTGATGGTGAATCAAACCCGGGACCTCTTGGTCCATGGGACAACGCTCAGTCCACTGAGCAACACCAGCTGGCCAGGGCCGTTTCTTAGGGTATGCAGTATCTCAAAAAGAGTCTGGGCTCTATTTTTATTCTTTAGTTTGTAAGCCATACAATCAAATCAGTCCCTTTATCTATATACCATCATGTATGGGTTTTTTTTTAATCAAAAAGTTGTCAAGCCAGCTAACTTTGAAAGCCTATGGCTTCCTAATAACTTCAATAACTTCCTAATAACTTTTCCTAGTTTAAAAAACAAAACAAAAAACCAAACCCATCTGCAAGTCACAAATAATGTGACAACCTTGAAGCTCAAAATAGTGAAATTTAGGCCAAAAGTATTTTTGCATTTCAGCAGCATTGTTGGCATAAGATCGTTGAGGCAATATTTGATCTCATATTATTTGGCGTATTTGTAGAAGGAGCAATTGCATTTTTCTGTTACATCCTATACTCAGTTGGTTGGGCCTTATTTCATAGTTTGGATATAATTGGTCACCTGTTGTGTAATCCAGGCCACGTAATGACACCTTAGAGCAGGGGTTCTCAACCTGTGGGTCGCGACCCCTTTGGGGGTCGAGCAACCCTTTCACAGGGGTCTCCTAAGACCATCGGAAAACACATTTATAATTACATATTGTTTTTGTGATTAATCACTATGCTTTAATTATTTTCAATTTGTAACAATGAAATTGGGGGTCACCACAACATGAGGAACTGTATTAAA